TCCTCCTCTGGATGATGGGGCTTCGGCCATGCACGCAATCTGAAGGGTAACTCCCTTTGGAAAGCGATTTGCCGTGTTCCTGGTTGGAATTCCACTCAGCCACAGCTTGCCCCCTGCCCTATTCTGATAAATAAGGCTCGGGCTCTCCGCTGTCTTGCCATGGACTGTCGCCAACCTGTCGAACTTCTGGTCGGGCCCTCGAGTATCCAGTGCCTCTGGAATCGGAAGGTCCTCCTCCTCGACTTCAACTTCTTCTTCTTCCGAACTGGTCACCAGGGCTGGCAATGGCGCTGGAGGTGGAGCTGGGGCTGCTTTGGCCTTCTTCGCTGGCGGTGCCTTAGACGGCGGCCCTTGTGGGGACCTTGGGCGCCTCACTGACGCCCTAGGAGGGGCAGCTGGCTCCGGAGGTCGCTTGGCCTTAGCAGATCCCGAATCAGGCCCTTCGCCAGTCATCTCCTCCACCTTGATGAACTTCTTGTCGTGGCATTCACATGCCGGATGGCCTCCACCACAAACTCGTCCAGCTTTGCGCAGAATGGCGCATGCATGGCGACCACGGCACGTTTCCTTCTCCAAGGGGCAAGACCTTGTCTGGAAGGCTCCACAAATGGGTGCCCCATTCTTCATGAATGCGCTCAGCACCTTCCCATTGAGAGATGCCGGCATCGCGGACAGGCCACCCTTGGCTTGTGCCTCCTCTCGTTTGGCCGCAGCTTTGAGCTTGAGAGCCTCCGACAGCTGGAAACGAGCCTGCATCTCCGCCTTCGTCAAAGGAGCTGCCCAAATGACCCTGGATTCCTGCTTCAGCACCTTGTCAACGTTCTGGCGCGCATACTCCAGGGCCTCAGCATAGGTCTCTGTTGGGATGGTCTCCCATGACTCATGGGCAAGCAGCTTCTCCATGGCCAACCTCACAATGTGCTTGGTCCTCAATGAAGACTCATACCTGGCTGCACTGTAGTGCATAGGCATTGTCGCCTCCTTCGGGATCTGGGAACGATCTGCCCAGTCCCCCAGTGAGCATAGCTCGAGAGGCGTCAGCTTCATCAAAGTGCCCACTGTAGGCGCTGCTCGCCGCCAGGAATAGGAAGACAAATCCTCTGTATTCTGGACCAAATGCTCAAAGACCTCACGATTGAGCTCGTTGACAAACTTCAATGTGTATGCGGTGCCCTCCGCATCAAAGCATAACCCCGAAGCGGCTTGCTTAGCCTTATCCAGACTGCTGTAGTCCCTGAATAAGGCCGAGCCCCAAGCCCATCCATTGACGAATGTGGCCGGAATGCTGAAGGAGAACCCGCCCCTGTTGGCCTTCTGCTTCCCCTTCGTGCAGTAGCCATGAAAGGAGCTGGGGGTCACTTTGACTGGCCTGGCACGCATGATGTGCTGGTATCGCAGGACACCAAAGGTAACCAGCCAGCTGGACAGTAAGCCCCTCCAACGCGGGTCCCCTGCTTCGTACAACGATTGAATCTTCTCTTCAAGCGCTGCAATCATTGGGGGCTCAACTGCAACAGCCTGTTCTGGGTTTGCCTGTTTGGGTGGATTCTTGCGAGCTGGGACTGGTACATCACTGAAATCCCATTGCAACCGGCCATGTTCGGAGAACCACTTCAAGGAGTGAAAGGCTCGGTAAGGCCCCGACGTGCCGTTCTGCAAGAAGCCGTAGAGGTCCAATGCATCCGGTGGGAACAGGCGGTCCTTCTGCTCCATGTAGGCCCGCAACTCAGCCCAGGACTTCAGGGCATTCACCACCGTCGCTCCTTCGGCCTCTGTCACCTTCCGCTTGGACAGGGTATCCAGAGCGTCTTGCCACTGAGCGTACCTCTCAGGGGTCAACTCCCCTTGAGGACGCATGACCTTGGCTTGAGAAAAGGCCTTCCTCAATGCCGCAGCTCGCAGCAGCACAGTCTCTGGTTGGTCTGGGCCTGGTCGGACTCGAAGAGCTTGGACCATCTTGCTCTTCTTCATCATGGACGCCTTGGGCGCAGGCCATGTCGTTGGCCGATCTCTGGAGCCCGAGCTCTCAGCCACGGCAGCCGCTTGAGGGATGAGGTCAGCTTCGGCAGTCTTGGAGCGCGCTTGCAACCACGCATCTGCCACATGGTGTCCTCCATGTGCCACTGCGCTGTCATAGGATGCAAACGCATAGGCGAAGTCAGTCTCATCATGTAGTCCCCATTGAGCTCGCCACTGTTCAACACGGGTGGATGCCACCCTCTCCATCGCCGTCTCTGCACAAGGTGGAGCCTCACCAGCAGCCTGCACCGCATAGGCTCCTGGGTGGTACGCCATGGCGACTCCTGACACCACCGCCGCCAAGGTTTGGAGCGTACGGGCTGGGCCTGAAACTGCAGACCACACCTCAGTATCATCAGGTAACAAACACACATCACTAGGCCGCAGCTGCTGCAGATGGGTCTCGACGCAAGACGGGGTGACATCCTGGACACTGGGAGGGTGGACAGGTACTGCACACTGAGGAGAAGCATCGCTCACAGAGCTCAGGTGTCGGCAGTCCACAAGCCTTGCAAGGTGGCAAGGGTTCCTCCCCAGCCTCCATGGCACCAAGCCAACCCCATAGCGACCGAACTGCTCTGGCCCGTGGTGCTCTCCACGCAACCAGGTCAGCCGGGATGGGCACCATGGATGGGTCCCTCCATCCACGCCGTGGGGACTGCCAGGTCCTCCAAACATCCCAAAGTTCGGTGAGGTCGACCATGCTATCGGCATTGTGCTCGATGAAGGCGACCAAACCAAAGATGTTGTCCGGCGCAAAGTCCCGCGCCGTCCAATGAGTCCGCAGCGGCTCGATGAGTAGCAAATCCAGCTTCGCCTCGCCCAGGCGATCATAGTAGGATTGCCACGCACGCCGCGGGTCACTCCCGGGCAGAGCCAAGACAGCTGAGCTGTTCCATGTGCCGATCCAAGGGAACTTGAATCCTCCCTGATACTCAGTACACCTCCTACACTTCCCCCTTTCACCCCAACCCAAGTGGATGTGGGGGGAAATGATCAATTTGGCACACAGAAGCCCACAACCGGGTGGCCTCTGCCACCAAGCCCTGCTGGAGTAGGCTCTCCACGTGCGTCTTGAACTCGTAGTAGGCAGCCGCATGAAGCAGCTCCACATCCGTGTGGGCATCCTCATTCCAACCGGGCCGAACGACGATGGAGGCCCTTAGCATCGAGGGGGGTGACCTCCCACCTTCGTAACCTCTGTACTCTAGGGTAACGCCCTAGTAGAGGAACGAGAAACCACTGAACCTAGGGTAACTCCCTAGAAGTGGCGTGGGTACCCCAACAAAAGAAAGAACGATGAAGCCAGTTTGGCTCAGACTTGAGCCAAAATGGATTCATCAGCTTACATACTCACCCTAATGATAATGCACACCCAGTGCCTGCCAAACACGATGCATACATATACATATGTAAAGGCTTAAGGAAGGGTGCCCCACGCCCGCTCCGATACCTTTCGCCTGAGCGGGTCCGGTGCCGGAGACCCGCGGGCCCATCTTGGGGCCTTCTCAACGCCTGGTGACCTACCACAAGGACAAGGTGAAAACCTTCGTCTTTGGCTTGGTGGTCACTACATCCTGAACGACAACCTCGGCCAGGTGATCTTCCTCTTGGAGGGCTGGGTGTTGCATGGTCTTTCGCATCGGGTTTGTCCTGACATTCCTCTTGGTCGAGGGCCATTACCAATTCGTTGCGGCGCCGAAAGCGCCGGCAAAGGGCGCAAGCGAGGCGCTCGTGGTTCCTTCACAAATCTGGGACCAGGACTCTTTGCTCTTCTCAGCTGCAAAGGGTGTTTGGGATCCTTTATCATCATCATTCTCGCGACCACTCTTTTCTGAAGCAGATCGCTTTTGCCATGGCGCAGTCAGATGTGGACTGGAGATGCCGTGCATGTTGGCGCACGAACAAGGCCAGAACAGAGAAGTGCGCAAGGTGCGGCATCAAGTGGACGCACGGATACGATGTGACGTACGTCCCACAGAAGCAACCCAAGAGTCCGAAGAGAAATTCTTGGAACTACGCAGGCAGACATGCCAACCACGATTGGCGAGCCTGGGGAGCTTCACAATGGCAAGATCCACAACAAGGAGTCAACACCGCGTGGAACAAGCAAAGAAGCAAGACGCCCAAGAAGAGCACTACGAGTCGCAAGAAGGGCAAAGCAGAGACCTACGGGGCCCCGGAGTTGGAGCCACCGTGGCAGACCAACTATACAGGTGGACCATCGGCAAGCGCAGGAGGAGAAGAGCCTTCGGCGACGCTAAGCTGGTGATCCTTGCGACAGCTCTGCAGGAGTCGAATATGACGATGACACAGAACGTCAGGGACATCGTGAACGAGCACTCCACGCCGATCCCCACCACCAAGGGCTTGAAAGCAGCGGTGGACAAAATGGACAAAGCAAGGAAGAAACTCAGGGAAGCAGAGAAAGCGAGGTACAACATGCACTCTTCCTGGCGCCGCTATATTGCAGATTCACTGCAGCGCTGCACTCAGTTTGCCGAGAAGTTTGGCAAGGACGACCAAGAGCTGGCGGAGCGCGTCAAGGCGGCCAAGGAGAGACTTCAAAAGACAAAGGAAGAGGTCGAAGCCAAGAAGGCAGCCTTGGAGGAGTTAGACGAAGAGGACCACGTCGACATCTCGGACGAGGAGATGAACGAGAAGGTGGACTCTGCAGAAAACATTCAGGTCAGTTTGACCCATATGGTGGAGAGTCTCAACAACATGAAACAGCAAGCAGATGCAGCGATCGTAGAGGCCGGGGAGAACAAGCCCAAACGCCAGCGCACAGAAGAGCATGGTTGTGGTGGCTCTGCCTCGGAAACTCTTGGTTCCAAAGGCAAAGCAATGGAGCCTTTTGGGAAGCCAGGCAAGTAGACTTAACAGAGACTTGCTCATGGCAAAGCACGGGCCCTTCGGCAGCTCTTTTGAACTGGGGCCACAGTTTTGTACGAGATCCTGCATTTGAAACTATGTGGGAGGCATCTATTAGCGGCCTAGACCTGGCATGGGAGATGGGAACGCTTCATTTGGGGAAGACGTCACCAAGTGACCATGACAGTATGCAAGGGCCTCTTCAGCTTGAGAGAAGAGAACGGCAACGCGTATGTTTCGCGGAGCGCATTGAAGTCTATGTGGGCTTTGAGGACTCCAGGCGCTTCAAGCGAAAACTACTCCCTGCCCGACCTCTTTCACATCAGCGTGCTTTTCATGACCTTCTTCGATATTGTTGTGCTGGATTTGTGGATTTTACTGGGGACGAAGAAGCCTCAGATGAAGTTTCATGGATGTCAGCGCATTTACCAGGAAATCAAGGAGCTCCTCAACCATTTTTGAATCGTGAAGCAGCAGGGGTTGCAGACCTTCCAACAGCTGTTCACCAAGAAGACCACATTGAGCTTGCAGTGGAAGTGATGGAGGAGGAAAGCGATGAAAATGGTTCCTCATCCGACGAGGTGGAACCCGACATGCGCCACTCCACCATGGCTTATTTCATTGACATTGACCCTATTCATTGCAGACCAAGATGGAACAACTATGAAGTCCTGCACATGGACATCACGACCTATGCGAACAAGGACATGCATGATTTAGCACGGGTTCACATTGTGGGACATCCACCTGAAGATTTACAAATGGCCAACATTCGACCCGTCATTGCACAACAACCACAGGATGTCACAGAAGGTTCAACCTTTCAACTGACCTTGTTGGATGTTGTTTTTCACAATGCCTTGCCTTCGCTGGAAGCAGAAACTGTGCGAAGAGTTAAGCTTCTACCTAGAACCATTTCCAGGAAAGCTCTCCTTGCTGTTCTAGGGTTGCAGCCATATTGCAAGTACGTTCGACAGGCCTGTTTGGTCTGGCACAACCGCAGACCTGTCAAGTCGCAGGCCAGGGCTCTCATTGACCTACGCCATGGTGACTATTTGCAGGTAGCAGTCCCACCGGGCCGAGGAGAACTCCGGAAGCAGTATACACGAGATGTGGCTCAGTGTTTTCGCAGAGGGTACAGGGCGAGCAACATCCCAGTCATCATGGAGGCGCATCCTGAAGGTTTGGACGTTTCAGATATGCCAGTCATCGACACGTTCAACTACATCCCAAGAGCGGAAGACTTGGACTATGACAGAGATGCTATGACACTGATGCAGATCACTGGCCTCAGCAGACCAGCGCTTGACCCTTGGCCTCTCTTTTTGGGCAGACAGCCTGTATGCGAAGGACTTACCACAGAAAGCAAGATTGCGGAAGAAGACAGAATTGAGGCTGAAGTCTTCACAGCTTCACACCAAGATCCACCTGCTGCCGCAGGTATTGGACTCAGGTTTGGCAATGAGGTCACATGTCTTCAAGAGCTACAACCCATTTGGGCGCATTTTGCTGCGGTTGAACTGGAAGAGGAAGGCAGGGTCCTCTACGTTCAGACGTGGTTCTCTGACCATGATCGTTTTCCCACTTGCGAGAGCTCCAGACCAGTGCGATTGCTGGCTGACCCCTGGCGATGGTTGGAGACGATGGCAGAAGTATGGGATGACAGAGTGGATCCAGACAGCCTCATTGATTTCTATGTCATTTTTCCGCGTCCTCGTTCACGTGATTGGGACGACAATGATGGTGTCCAACATGTTCTTTTAGTTCAACATCCACATGCTGGCCGACGTAGCACTCACATCACACATGTGGATCCTGAGAACGCAGCGCGACCCATGACCAACTTTGTCACTACGGTTCCTTTCCCGGTGCGCAAGGTGGACTTCTATGATGTTCTAGGCATCAATGATCGCAGCATGGTGAGTAGCCTTGTAGACTGCGCAGTATGGCATGGAGACTATGAGTTGGATCATGTACAAGAGTATCCTAATCGACATGGCCTCAGCTTCATTGTCATTCAGAACCACCTACGTGACATCGTGAGAAGAGCGGCAGCGAGTAGTGCGGCATCCAGCTCTCATGCACCCATGCTGATGCAAACCCAGACAAAACATCAGCGTCTTCACCTTTTTGACATGCTTGAAGATGAACTTCCTTTAGAAGTTCCTACACAAATTACAGTGCAGCTTCGGTGGCTTGCTCCAGTTCAACCACATCCAGATTTTCTCATGTTGCCATCAACAGCGCAAAACTCTGACGTGACACAAGAGTTGGCTTCCTGGGGCCTACAAGCCCGGACGGTATTGTGCCGTGAGAGGGACCAAGTTGTTTGCCTGTCATGTGAGCAACCCGCTGATGACAAATTCGACTACGTTTTCGTGAATTTAGATCTGGAGGATGAGGTTGACATTCTTGTGCACACAGCCAGAAGCCGCATGACTTCACAAGAGATCATGAGCACCCTCTACAAGTTGGGGTTTTGGCGTGCTGTTATTGTGCACAAGGAAGAAGTCCATGAGCACATTTACAAGATCCAATTCAAAGATCAGAAAGTGAACACGATGTCGCCCAAGATCAAGACACCAAGGGTTTCGGAGTGGCCGGCACCACAAGTCTGCATTGAGAAGATGCAACCATACTTTCAAGCGCAGACCCCCTTTGAGAGTATGCAGCTCTTGGACATCGGCATTACGCTGGATGATCTGCAAGAGCTTTTCCAATCTCATCAAGGAGTTCTGCAGCCGGACCTCGAGGGTCTTGACTTACCAGACGAGATACAGAAGGCCATCAGTGCATGTGATTCTGGGTTGCGTCTGGAAGATCTGGATCGTCTACTGATCTATGCGGACGGCTCATCGTTAGGCTCCTCCAAACATGTTGCACCGCTACGAGCTGAGGAGGAAGGCACAGGTGATACCTGGGCTTACGTTGTCATAGGTGAACGATATGATCCTCCAGGGCTTTGTCTTCTTGGATGGAACGCACAACCTGTGCTTTACGACTCGCAGCACAACAACTGCTTGGGTGCGCAAAGGATAGGAGCCGACATCGCAGAGAAGGAAGCGTTGACCTGGGCATCACTTTGGCGGCTCAGTCAAAACTGGGCTATCCCAACATGCTTTCGGTCAGATTCACGGGTAGCTCTTGGGCAGGCAGAAGGCACCACGGGCACCGCCTGTTTGGATGAAAGTTTTGTCTTCCTTAGAAGTTCCTTCCAAGCGATTGAAGCGGCGTTAGGACCTCATGGAGTACTTTACGCCCATGTGCCTGGTCACTCAGGTGAAGTTTGGAATGAGTTATGTGACTGGCTTGCGAAAAGAGAGAGGCAGCGCAGCTTCTACTGTCGCAGACCGACGCTCAACATGGACCGGTGGCGCAAGGCGATTGCTCACCTTTGGCTTGTTTTGCGTTCTCATCCTGATCTCCCTGCCTTTTGCGGTTCTGGACTACATGCTCCTGCACCGAGTCTTCCATCACCAGAAGGCCCTGGGTTTGCAGACGCAAAGATATCAGAGGAAGTTCAGCCACATTGGACATGTATGAAGTTTACTCTCAGCGCTTGCACAGCCAATGTCCAATCACTTTCAGCTCCACCACAAGGGCACGGAGGCAAGTTGGACTTTCTGCGACAACAATTCATCGAGCTGGGTTTCAACTTTCTTGGCATTCAGGAGTCCAAGACTGATGAATTTTGCTCTTGTGTGGACAATGTGTATCGCCTTAGCGCTGGACAACACAACCACCAACAAGGAGTCGAACTTTGGGTTCATCTCCAACAGCCATACGGCTATATCAACGGCAAGCCACAGTATTTTACCAGAACTGACTTTCAGATCGTCTTCAAAGATGCGAGGACCTTGCTTGTTCATGTTGACACTCCTTATTGGAATGGATGGCTCCTTGTTGCGTATGCGCCGCAAAGTGGTCTTCCACTGCGAGAACGCGAAGCATGGTGGCAACATCTTATTGACGTTGTGCACAAACGCAAGCATCATGAGCCGCTGATTGTCATGATGGATGCTAATGCGGCTCCAGGCGACTATGATGGAGAGACAGTCTTTGTGCACGGCTTGCCCTCGTCATCAAGTACATCTTTCCTGCGACGATTTGCGACAGAACATGACCTTTTCATGCCAAGTACGACACAGGCTCATCAGGGGGAACGTGCCACATGGACAGATCCCAGCGGCATTCACCGCTACTGCATTGACTACGTGCTCCTGTCCTCACACTTTGCAGCAGCTTGTACCCTGTCTAGGGTAGTGCCGGAGTTTGATCTCTGTATACAAGCACGTGGGATCATGAAGCCACGGCTGTAGAGACAGCATGGGAAACCTGGGTACCGCAGGGTCAGCTCTCAACGACTGATGGGCTTGGGTTTGATCACACGCTCATCACGTCAGAAAAAGTGAAGGAGATCCTTGCGGCATACACCCCAAAGCCTTGGGACACCAACATCGAAGATCACGTACATGATTTCAATACCACTCTTCTTGGACATTTGCGCAAGACTTGCCCTGTCCAGAAAACAAAACCCAAAAAGAAGCACATCACGTCAGAAGCCTGGAATCTACGTGAACAAAAGCTTCAATTGAAGAAAAGACTTCGAGCGCTTGCTGGCAGACAAAGAGAGGAGAGCTTGGGGGTGATTTTCAGGCTCTGGAAAGGAGATCTACAAGCACAACATGGAGTTGATCGGTTTCAGCAGTATCATGATTTCCTCTGGATCTCCAACCTGCGTCTTGTTGCAGAGTACCGCAGAGTTGCCCTTACACTACGCAATCAACTATGTCGTGCCAGGCAGAAGGTCATCCAGGCGACCTTTGAGAATATGGATGCAAATGCGTCTACCAGCCAGATCTTGCATGCCCTCAGACCCATTTTAGGTCCTTCAAATCTACGGAAGCTGAAGGTGACCACTCTACCGCATGTGAGAAATGCACAGGGAGAGCCATGCAGTCTTCCAAATGAGGCGGTAGAGGTTTGGCTGGAATTTTTCAGGCAAATGGAAGGCGGAGTCCGGATGGACCACCAGGAGCAAAGAAGCTTATGGATCCAGAACCTGAGCACTCTGCGCCAGAGTTCCTTCAAGATTGATGCAGCTGAACTGCCACGTCTCCTCGATCTGGAAGCGGCCTTTCGTAGGATCAACCCTACAAAGGCAACTGGTCCCGACAAACTACATCCTGCGTTTTGTCGAGGGCATCCACCGATGATGGCGCGACAGACATATGGACAACTTCTCAAGCTCACCGTACACGGGCAAGAGGATCTGGCCCACAAGGGTGGGGTTTTACACCCTATCTGGAAATCAAAAGGACCCAAAGACTGCTGTGAAGCTTACCGCAGTATATTGGTGTCAAGCTTCATCGGGAAGAGCCTTCATCGTAGCATCAGGCAGAAACAGACGATCCTGTTTGAGCGCTTTCTTCAGACAGAACAACTGGGAGGTCGCCCCAGAGTCCCGGTGACCCTTGGGGTTCATCTTGGCAGAGCCTTTGTACGAGCACGTCGACGTCAAGGGCATAACGTGGCGATGCTTTTCATTGACCTGACGGAAGCATTCTACAGGATCCTGAGGTCTTTGGTAACAGGTGAACCAGCCGACGATGAGCTGATCCTACATGTTGGACGCCGCATGGGTTTGTCCGAAGACCTGATGAAAGACCTATATGCCCACCTTGCGGAGCCGGCGGCCATTGAGGCAGCTGGGCTACCACATCACATGCAGAACACCATCAAAGCCCTGCATGTCGATACTTTCTTCAAAGTCAGAGGGCGAGGTGACGTGTGCCGTACGGCACTAGGGTCACGCCCGGGTGACTGCTTTGCCGACGTCATCTTTTCGTATCTGTGGAGCCGCATCCTTCACAACTTCCAAGCTGCACTGGAGGCCCAACACTTTGAGGCACAAATTCCAGTTGAACCTGGCCTACGTCTTGGAGGAGATCTCACAGCGGCAGAGGTTCCACAGAGGGCATTTTTGGGTCCGACGTGGATGGACGACACGTGTATTTGCCTATCTGATCCAGATGGCATCGTCCTGGAGCACAAGATTCACCAAGCAGCGGGCAGCCTTTTGGCACTATGCGAATCACACGGCCTCACTCCAAACCTGGGTCCGGGGAAAACGGAAGCCCTTTTGATCTTTCAAGGTCGTGGGTCGCGTCAGCAGAAGATCAAGTACTTTGGGCCCCATTCGGACAGGAAGCTCAAGATTGTGAGCGAGATGGGCATCAAACAAGTACGAGTGGTACAGCACTATACACATTTAGGCTGTATCTTGCACCACAAGACGGATAGTCGACGAGAAGCCCGACGTAGAGTAGGAATTGCACAGCAGACGTTTTCGCAGCAGCGCAGACATCTCCTCCAAAACCCTGCTCTTTCGATCTCTCGCAGAGTCGAACTCTTCAAGACGCTAGTGTGGAGCAGATTTTGCTATGGTACTGAGTCATGGACTCTTGCAGAGCAAGGAACCAAGACTTACGTTGACAATGCGCTCTTGAGGCTGTTTCGCAGACTTCTCCGTGTCAAGCATGACGCACATCTTTCTGACGACGACATCTTGGTTGCGACGGGGCTGAACAGCCCGACGGAATTGCTTCGATTGTCTCGCCTCAGATACTTGGGCACACTTTATCGTTGTGGAGAACGAGTACCCTGGGGCTTGATCAACAGCGATGTTCAGTGGACTACGCTGCTGGCTGATGACCTCAACTGGCTCTGGCAACAACTGAGAGGGGCTTCTACGCTGCCAGACCCTGCGATCTCCCTCCACGCGTGGACTGACCTTTGGATCCACCATCATTCGTATTGGAAGAGACTGATACGACGTGGAGGAGAACACGCAATTCTACAGCGCCGTCGTCGACATAGAGTTGAAAGTTTTCACCAAAGGTTTGCGGCCGTTTTTCAACAGATCCAACCAGAGTTCTTTGGTAAAGAGCAACATCAACCCAGAGGGCATAGCACTGAGGATATGGAAATCCATGCATGCATGAAGTGCCGCTGCACTTTCAAGAGCAAGGGAGGGCTTGGTGCTCATCTTTTCAAAGTACATGGAATTCCGTCGCGCTTGAGGATGTTATTTGAGACAACTTGCTGCGGGTACTGCATGAAGGAGTACCACACGTTCAGCAAATTGCATGCTCACCTCAGGCATTCTACGTTGTGCAGAGAGAAGTTATGGGGCCGACGTTCTCGGTTTGCTCCTACAGGGGGCTCAGGTTCGACATCAGATCGATCCCTTTGTCAAGCACATGATGGTATTCTTCCTCCTCTTCAAGCTGAAGGACCACGACCAGAAGATCAACCGGCAGTGCCATTGCCTGTTCATGACCTTCAAATGGCGGAGACAATTTACCTGAAGATTTTGGAGGCGGAAGGAGATGCTGACGTGGAGAACCTGGTGCGCAGTGCCACTGATGATCGGATCACGACGTGGACGACATGGCGAGCTACGCTGGCCTACATGCTGGACATCCTGACCGAGGAGGACATCCTGGCCTTGGACATTGGGGAGTATGACATCAAGCGGCTACTTCATGCTCTTCAACATGCGCACGCGTGGCCTTTCCTCCAGGAGGAGACGGGCCGGACAGAGGAGAGCACCCGCCCCTCTTTGGAAGAGATTGAATACGACTGCGCGGCAGCTGCAGCTACAGCCGGCGATCGTGAACCTTTTTGGCGTGTTCCTCGCCCGATGGCCCGCGAGCAATTCTTCATCCATGCATTTTCGGGTCGTCGCAGGGTGGGCGACCTACAGCACTTCATCGAGGAGGCGCAGGCGGCGTACCCTGACATGGTCATCTTCACCATTTCTGTGGATTTGATGGTGGACCCCCATTGGGGGGATGTTTCGAAACCAGAGGTGCGGGCCTTTTGGATGAATGCGGTGAGGCAGAGGCAGGTTGTGGGGGCCATGGCAGGCCCCCCCTGTGAGACTTGGTCACAGGCCAGAGGCCAAGCTCTTCCTGAGGGTTTCTGCAAAAACCGTGGGCCACGCGCCGTCCGCGACCTGGACCATCTATGGGGGCACATCGCTCTAGCTTTGAAGGAGGTTCGACAACTGGATGTTGGGAATTTGCTGCTGCTTTTCACTTTAGAGCTCCTCATCACGCTGGCCATGACGGGCGGCATTGGAGGACTCGAACATCCAGCACCGCCGACCGACTTAGCCAAGGCCAGCATATGGCGATTGCCTCTGATGAGGTACTTGCTGGAATGGCCGGAATTCGAGTATATTGAGATTTCGCAGGGGCTTTGGGGCGCACAGAGCCGCAAGCCGACGGGGCTCCTGCTTTTGAATCTCCACCAGATGATCCCCGCTCTACGCAGCTGGCAACTGACGGGCGATATGCCAAAGGGCATTAGTATAGGTCTCACAGCTGAGGGGGATTGGGCCACAGGGGCACTGAAGGAGTACCCTCCAGCCCTATGCGCTGGTCTTGCCAACGGATTTGTTTCGGCGCTCCATGAACATGAAGTGGACGCCTCACTGTTGATCGATGGTGATTTCCGAAGGCAAGCTCTAGACATGGTTGTCACGGAAGAAGGAGCATGTATAGGCCCGGACTTTGCCCAATAGCATGATCACAGTGAAGAATTTAAGCATGGCCGCAGCAGAGATTGCTTCGATGTGCCAGAAGGAAAAAAAAATACATATGTATATATATATATATACATATACATATATATATGCATATATATATGTATATATATATATGTATATATATATATGTATATATATATATGTATATATAACTTGGACCTGCAATTACTTCCATACCTCACTGGTTTGCACTCCTGAAATAAAGGATGAAATGCGACTGAGTTGGGCTATTTGCTATCCTCGCCTGCTCCTTCTCAACCAAAATAGCTGAGACCTTATCGACTGAACCAGTACCTTGGAAAAATCCACCAGTTTGCACACAAAAAACGGACAGGATGCTGGTGAGGTTCCCCAAAACCAATGAATTCTAATCCTTTGTCCAACTGATTGTCATTAAGATTAGACTGCTATTTATATAATTGCTGTTTTGGGTAGGCAACAGAATGTTCACTCAGATGAGGCATTTGCAGATGAAAACTGGAAATCTCGTTTCTGAAGCCACTCAGGTTCTCAGATTCTCATGGCCTTGGTCCACAGGCCTGTTGGCCACAGGAATTCTCAGGCTACCTCTTTGGGTACCAGCACAATCACTGCACATCCAGCTTGTTGCAACAGACCTCTTCACTATAGAATTCATCGAAACAATCAGAAGGGTCTCCAGTGTCTCCAGTGCCACAGCACAGGACGCAGGAATTCTTGACCCCAAGGCTAGTATCTTTCATCACCCCCATTCCACGGGACCATGCATTCATTGGATGCCAGCATTCCGGCACTTTCAAGGGCAAACACCGTTGCAGGGGCTGAGCTAATCTCTTCACCACTTCAGGGTCGAAAGCCAAGCTGGGCACTACACGGCCGTTCGGGGCAGCCAAGCTCTTTAGGTGCTGCAGTTTGACGGGCCAAAAAGTCGTGTTCAAACACTTCCCCAAGCGTGGCAGCAGAGCTGTGGCCACCTCCTGAGCCTTCGCCCGTTCATCTAAAGTGCCCGGAATTCGGGAGCAGAGCACGGCCAGAGTGGCAAAGCCCACCGGACAGGAGCCAGGATCGAATCCTGGATGTAACATCACTTTGCAAAGGTTTGAGTTGAAGGTCATTCCTCCCTCCACCTGCCCAGGCGTCAGAAAAGTTAGGAGATGGAGCCACATGTTGTTACCAAAATCACAGCGGCAACTGTGCGGCATTGTGTCCCACTGCTTGCTTCGGAACGGATTCGTCGTGAAGGTCAATCGGTCTTTGCCTTTGTTAGATAAACCTGGATGATTCTGCAGCCTTTCGAGGTTGTCAGCAAAGGAATTTTCCCACAAAGCTTCGGCATCAAACACAGTCTTCGCCAACATTGGATATGTGCTGCCAGATTCCATAATTCTGGATCCCCGCTCGTGAGATCCAGCGGCTGCAGCTGGTAGTGTATGCATTGTCCCATGGGTTGCTGGAAAGTGACAAAGTCCTTCCACGCCAAACCAGGAAGTTTTTTCCTTCGTGTTTTCTGTTCTTTCATTCCATCCAAAAAGATGTTGATGGGGATTACCATCCCATGTTTTTTGGGCTGAACATCAAAAACTATGAATGGAACCCCCTCTTCTGCGCCCAGTTTCTGGTGGATGTACACTGGAATGTGGCGCCCCATTGCCATTGCTCTGCCATCTCCCAGGTCCTCCTCACAAGGCCAGAATTGCACCATGGAAAAAGGGTGGAACATCCCTGTGCTTTCTTGGAAGGTCCCTGCCAGGCCAGGCCGCACTGTGCTGACCCATGTGGAGACATTCAACTTCAGAAAGGCCAACCTGAAGGTGTCCTTGGGACCATACAGCACCCGAGTGAAGAAGTATCGGCTGGCCAGGTAGTTGGCTAAGCAAATGGCGCGCCAATGATTCTGCTTGTCAATCAAGAAGGTGCCGGTCTCCTGCTCGTGGCTGAAGCGCAGGTCAGATTTGTTGTGTTTCAGCTGCAGCAACTGCAGGGCCACGTGATTCGGCCAAGAGGATTCACCAAAAGGATAGCAGTCCTGACTCCAGTGATCAGGCCAGAAGAGAGCACCATTCTGCTTATATGCTTCGGTCTCAAAAAGTATATCTGGCGCCATAAGTGGAGTGACGTCTGTATCCATCCACAACACATGCTGAAAGCTCGAGCTCATCACAGCCGGAAGTACCGTAGACCAGCCTTTATAGACTCCTGGCACTTGCAATTGACGACACACTGCACCGCTGGCTGCCAAGGCCTCACAATGAGCATCTTCCAATTCAAAGGCATGCCAAAACTCCACGGGTAAATATGATCTGTGAGATCGCAAGACATCCAAATTGGCTAAGGCTTGCAAAACGTGTTTGGCACCACCGCTCATGACGATACCTTTGCCCTGGAAAGCAGAAGCCGATGGCATGCTGATCCTGTCAAGATCCGCCAGGAAGTTTGCCAGAGCCATCTCTTCGGCAGGTAAGTACTGCGAGCAGCGCTGCCACGGAAGTGAATGACTACCTGGTTGGCAGTTTCAGCGCATCCCAAACAAAAAGTTGTATAGTCAGTGTGAGCATAATCTCAGGGTACAAGGTATGAAAAGAATACAAGAATCAAATACAATATAATATAACATAATATAATACAATATTTTGATATAATATAACATGATAAAAGAAAATGTAGCATTAGATAATATAATACAAAATAAAATAACAAAATCTAAAATAACATAACATAGGGTAATACAATACAATACTATGCTATATTATACTATACTATATTTTGATATAATATAGTATGCTGTAATAAAATTTTAAAAAATGTAGAAAATAGTAAAAGGTAATAAAATATAATATAACAAATTATATGAGATAATAAAATATAAAAGAATAAAACATATAATATAATAAAATACAATTCGAAAGTTACTTTTCCCAATCTCCCTCCAGCTCAAGGGTACGCGTCTCCCTCAAGAAAATTTGTGTTGCCTCAGTTTGACCATAATTATACGGCTGGGGTTATATACGGATACACACGTATTAACTGCCCTTCTATTTTATCTCATATGGTGCCGGAATTAATCAATAATTTGATTTGTTGGAACTGCAAAAGCTGCATCGGAAAATCCATCGGTCCCGTACCCAACTCCTTGTACAGCAGCTTCACCTCTGCCTGGGTCTTGGGGTATCTAAGGCCCACGCTCGCAAGGAAGGACTTGATCTCGGCCGTCTTGGACTTGTGCGCTGCCAACTCGGCCGTCTTCTTCTGCTTGATGCCTTCCCCAGAGCCACGGGGTGAGGGCTTGATGAGCAGGGGCGTCAATGACCAAATCTGGTAGATCTCCTTGAAGGTCCAGGTGTGCCCCAGGATGGTGATCATTGAGGGGAGGTCCCACGACTGGACCCTCCGGACAAATTTGGTCAGTGCCATAGGCTACCAGCTTCTCCCGAAGCCCAGGGCGCTTCCCTTCGTTCACCCGTGTAGGTCTGCGGTACGTAGGAGGTGTTCCCCAAAGGTCCAGTGCGGGTCTCCAAGGAGAGGAGTTCTGGCGGGGCATTGAGAGGACACGTTCTCTGTACCCAGACGCCACCCCAGGCCCGGACCTCTCCCATGTGGTAGCTGAGGATGGAGACCAGCACTGCAAATTTCCTCTCCGCGCTTTCCTCAGGAAGGAGGCGGGCCAATCTTCCAGCAGGAATCATTTCAGTCCCTTCTGCGTATGTGTAGATGTCCAACTGGGTAGTTGGAAACTCTTGCAAAAGGCGACGGCCCGAAATGGGACATTTGTTGTCTTTGAGAAAGTCTTTCATCGCGAGGTAGGTCGTCTTCAAGCCGTTGAAGTCGAACTGCTCTGGGCCTTCCGGGCCCTGTGAGGGGGCAAAAAGATTCCCTTCCCATGCACGCTGCAAGTCCTCCGGCCAGAGCGTGAAGGAGTTCACCGGGAGATACCGGGAGGGGTTTGAGGAGAGCTTTCCTGTCTGCGCAGCCTGGTCCTGAGTGGTCTGCGCAGCAAGAATCGCCTCGTAGGAGGTGGTGACGCCGCTCTCTTCATGCTTTCTCTTGAGGAAGGCCCGGAATTGTTGCAGGTCCAACTTCCGAAGCCCTGCTGCCTGGCTCTCTCTGGCATGCTGCTCTTCCAGCTTCTGACGCTTTCTCTCTTGGGTCACCGCCTCCATGTCTGCTGCTTCAGTCGACAGGAGGTTCGCCTTGAACTTGACCACCTGGATAGCCTTTGGGTGGAAGATGACCGCAGATTGCGTCTCATCCTGCTCCTCCAACGCAGGAGGCCGTTCACCTTTGGGATGAAAAATGTCATCCTTGCCGAAGGTCTCGATCGGCTGCCGCAGTGTGACACGTTGGGACTCCGCCACCTGCTCAGAGAAACTTACCAGCCCTGGGTCAGCGCCAGAGGCTACTGCCGGCGGCAGGCGTCCAAGATCTCCAACCTCGATGTATCCGGCTTGCTTAGTCGCCTTAGCACCAGACAAGACCCAGGTCGGACCAGAGTCACTAAACCTCAGCTGCCACGTTTGTCCATCCACCTCAATGACGGACAAGGGGGTAGTAGACATGTCAATGGGTGAGGTGCGCTTGCAAAGCATACATGTCGCAAAGGAGCCCCAAGGTGCGTTGCAATTAGAACAAACCAAGGATGGCTGGGCCCCCGGGTCCTTCTCAGTCAGATTCTCCATGGAGCCACCACGTTGCGACGCGTGCTTCGCCTTCAGCATCTCCAAGTGAGCAGCGGAGCGCTTCGCGATCACGTAGACCTTGAGGATCTTTGCCACCAAAGGGGGTGTCCAGGATGATTCCTTGAACGCTGAGAGCAAGGAGCGTAGTTCCCCATGAGTGAGGACCCTGGCAAATCTAGCCGCCTGCTCAGGCAGCGGTGTGATGACCGCCTCCCATCCCTCAATTGTGAAAGTGCCGGTCTCCTTGTTCATGTTCAAATCGAGGAGTTCACTCTCCACGGACTTGATCGTGTCCTCGGGCTCTGGCTTGGAGGCTGATACAAAACCTGCAAGTGGTTCGGAGCCCTTGGCTTCCGCACCAGATGCCGGTTTCTTTTCCAGCCCCATGTTCTCCATCACCTTCTGGAGCTCCATCAGCTGAGCATCCAGGTCCGCCTTGGTGACATTCATGTCAACGTCATCCAGGGTAGGCTCGTCACTGGGCAAATCAGTGAGTAGGGTAATCTTCCCCTGTGGATGAAGCCATATCCACCAGTGAAATCGAATCCAAGGTCGCAGGCTCACTTGCCATAGGGCTCGAAGCAGCCATTATCAAAGCGAAGAATGCAAAGATTTTTCGATACACTTCAAAGCAGGGGGAAGACTTGAGCCAAAATGGCAAAGCCATTTTGGCAACTATATCGACAACACATTACTTGCTCTCCACAAGTTCCAAGCAAGGAAACAAATAATAAAATACAATATAATTTAATCTAATATAATAATTTAATATAATGTAGTATAGTACAATATATTATATAATAATATAATTTAACATCTGAAACCATGAACCAGCTACGAAATGGGGCCTTATCATCCCCGCGGACAAAGGTCAAGGTCAAAAGAAACGCCCGATGCCAGCTGGGCAGCAACAAGTCCACCGACATGTCGATGGCTGTTTCAGCTCCAACACCGCTTGTGACGAGTTGGCAATGGACAATTTGGGTGTCAAAATCCTGCTTCACTTGGTAGGACCATGATGTCTCTATTATCAATATGGATGAATGCCCTTTCATGGAATATAAGCTCCAATAAACAAGCATCAAAAAGAGGCGTTGCTGCTCAAGTGCAGTCTGATTGAGCCCACAAAATCTCACGGGGGAAATTCCTGAGGACCCAATCAGCGAGTTATCTAGTCTCGACGAAACGGGATGGACTTCTAGATGCAGACGCAGATTGATTTTTTTTGCGAGCGCCATTGAGCGTCTGGAGGGGGATCTAAGGGTTGCAGGGATGGAATGAGGCACAACATGATGCAACTGCTTTCTCTGCAGAACCAAGGGAAGCCAAGCAACAGAGGGATGGCCCAGGGTTTAATGAAAGAAGGTGTTCAAGATCCAACACTATCAAAATGTCAGTGCATCAGGGCGTCAAAATGGCCTGGGACCGATTTTCCCATTGCCTTGAGCTTCACAAAGTGCTACGAGTCCGGGGGGTAACTTGCCCCAAAATCTATGAACTTACCCCACCGCATGGCACACCGCTTACCCCACGACCCCAAGAACTTACGCCATGTGCAAATCACCATGGCACACCGGCCCTCACGGACAGGTTTTTGGATTGGTTTGTTATTTTCCTAAGGGATTTGGTACATTTTACATCAGTTCCTGAATTCTTTGACCTCACCCCAAATGTCAAGGAATGCATGGCACACCTACAAATTGTTTTCTATCAGCCCAAGTTCTCAGATGTAATTCCCATTGTCGGAACAACATATTTAATCTCTAAGAATGTCATCCATGATGGTTTTCCCCATTGGCACACCGAGTACATCCAAGTACTCAGGTAACAGTTTTCTTTTCTGCAGCCGATCACTTTGCCGATCCATGTATGTGCCCATTGTTTTCATGAAGTTCCTATGCGGACTGCAACGCTTTGTACCGTTTATCTGTCTTAAACCTGACACAAAGCGTTGTAAACCGCATGGCACACCATCAACTTGACCTCTAGAAGACCAGGACTTCTACATGTCATTCTCATTGAGTTATTTTTTACGAGATCCTTACGAGGTCTTTACGAGATCTGTACGAGATCTGGATTTTGCAAGGCAAGGCAGCAGGGATCTTTTCTATTCTTCCCTTCTCTGCTCTAGGCCTCTCTAATCACTTCTACTCTTCAATTCGATTCTCTTCTCTACTCTTCTGTACATAGTCTCTTCTACTCTACTCTTCTCTTCTACTGTTCTCTCTTCTGTGCGAGTCAAGCTATTGAGAAGCCATCCCCATGAGTTTCTATCGCAAGAAGAATATGTCTCAAAAACATGTGTGCCCCTGTAAAGTGTTAGAAAAATCAATGCCACAAACAATTGATTCATCCAGCAAGAATGACATGTATATCATGGACTTCCCAACGGCACACGGTTTGCGGCACAAGAAGATGACCGCGGCATAAGTTACCACTTTGACCCAGTACTGACATCTACTGACCCACTTTGTGCCACTCCTGTTCATCCCAGCACAACAACTGCAGTGATATAACTTGGGCTCAGTGGCAGAAAGCAGCAAGCTTGGTGTTGAGAAGATAGCTGTAGCCAGATCCGTCATCTACGCCACCTCCAGGCTGGGCAGGATCCTCTAGAATCATGGGAAGAAATCCAGGTATTGACACGCCGCACGACAAAAATCACAGAAACTCTAAGGAGTCACTCCAGAAATCAGAAAAAGCAAAAGCACATCACGCAGCCTATCTGGGCTCACATTCCGAGTTCACGTGGACTTCCCGTTTCAACGATATTGCGACAACCCTCCCCGCTCAGCTGGCCCCACCATTGGAAATTTGACCTGTTTTCTTGGGGAAGCTGTGCTTCTCAAAGAGTTGGTACAGCTCAGCCTGCCGAACAGTGAGACCATTGGGTATAGGGTACCAAGTTTGATGCTTTGGCAGCTTTAGCATCACTTCCCGCATGAAAATGTTTGTTGTGTGCACGTGGATATACCTAGGACACATCTGTAATCATTTCCCAAATCGGAAAACTGTGTCCATTTTGGGGTGGTTTCCTGCCAAGAATGTATGCGGTCTGGTCGCGGTGTGGTCGCAGCAACAGCGGTTGCGCCTTGCTCTTCTTCTTCACGTCCAACTTGCCGGAATTCACCTGGCACGTGAGTCTTTCTTGTTCCTAGCCTCCTTTTTTTGTTGGTCATGTGGGTATGGCTCAAACATGGAGAGCAATTGGATACCCCAATGTTGAAGCCATGGTTCTAGCCCGATTTTCTGGTGCTTGTAGCCACTTTAGTCATGGCCATCGCCATTTCGCCCACCTCATTGTAGAAGCGAACCTGACACTCAACAGAATCCTTCTGAGCCTTGGTCAGCTGCACCGCTCTGCAGGGACGAAGATCAAACATGATCAAACGGAGATACCAGTTGGATAGAAATGGATATAGCATGATATAGTCACATAATAAAACACGATATGAAGTTTGAAGGATTTGCACGGATATCAATTGGATATATGTGATTACTAGTAGAATAAGCGGCGTGTGCTCTATCTTGACAGTCTCCTTGAGGTTCCCATAACCAGCTACAAAAATCGTTCAACGCTGGGGGAACTATTTTCATGTGGCAAAATTGTACCCATCAATAGGGTTTCGCCGAATGGAATTGATGAATAGGGAGCCCATTTGAATATGTATCGAACGAGAATGCAATTCTACGTATAACTCTTGCGGGTTATAACCACTCTACATGATGTAATTTAAAATGATTTGAACGCACATATAGATAGATAGATAGATAGATAGATAGATAGATAGATTTATAGATAGATAGGTAGATAGATAGATACAGAGATAGATTGATAGATAGATAGATAGACAGACAGACAGACAGACAGATAGACAGACAGACAGACAGATAGATAGAGATAGATAGATAGATAGATCGATAGATAGATAGACAGATAGGTAGGTAGATAGGTAGATAGATAGATAGATAGATAGCTATCTCTTAAGAAATTATGATTTGAAAAATCCCAAACACTTTTCAGACCATTACAATCTTCTACAACATCACTGCCACCCCCTACACCTCGCTTTCGAAGCCTGCAAGCGCTTCACCATCATCTCCTTCTTTTTGGCCGTCAATGGACCTTCCTTCACCTCAGAAGCAACCTGCTGGTGACCGAAATTTGGCGCCACATTGACAGTTACCTCAAGTTCTTGGAGGATTTGTTTGAATGCATACGGTATATTACGGTATATTATATGCGGATATGATTGTCTATGTATATACATATATTATCATATATTATAATGTGGTTGTGATATGTTATTGTTGGATGTGATGCAATGTGGAGGTAGATGATACTGGTGGTGCAAAAAATGGATTACCACCCCCAAGGGCGGCCTTAGGAGATGAACCCAAGTCACCACCATGGTTTCAGTGAGATTCGCCACGGTGGCACTGTGGCAGCAATCGAAGAGACAGACCGCCTTGCATCCCTTCCTCAGCAAAGAGAAGGTAACCTGTTGGTGGAAAATCAACCCTGTTTGATCGGTTTTCTGGCGGAATATCAAATATCAGGATAATATCCAATTCTGTGCTGGTCTCCCAGAGGATAACAGCAACATTTGTGGGTTTGGTCATCCGTGTGTGCAGGGGATACCCCTCCAAACTCTGAATGTTTCTGCCTGATGGCTGAACTTCAACAACCCCCTTCCCCACAGCCCAACCAGATTCCAAGGTGCGGCAAGGGGTCGTAGAGTTTCTGGTGGATCTCCGAGTCCGTGATCACGGTGCTAGGCCAGGGACCATCGATGCAGTCCAACGGGCAGATCACATCTGAAGGCCTTGGGCACAACGAGTTGGGCCATGGTTTGGGGAAGGGAGGGAGAACTGGACCTGGGTTGTCCAAGTGGAAGAGGCCAAATTGTCCATACTTGACGCTGCCTAGTCCAAGACCTTAGGAAAAAGCGACAAAATACATCAACCAGGGTCTGCATTCCCACTGTGCATGTGGCTGTGTCTGTCAAGAGAGGGTATACACCCAAAATGGAAGTTGTAACTTGAAAATTGGAAAATAAAGTGAAACTGAGGATTTAGGGATTTCTATGATGTCCCTGGTTTTGGACAAAGCAATGTTCCCCTTCCCCGTCCAGCGGCATGGTCTTCTTGTCTCCGTTGTATTGTGAACCGTGACCTCAAGCTCAGATCGCATGCACTACTTGAGATGAGATTGTCACCTCACCAAGTTTACGGTCATCAGCCATGACTCGTCAAAGCCTGTCCATGGTTTTTTCCGCAACTTCATATGTCTCGTACAACGATTCTACTTATCCGAATCCCTCACATCAAGGCAATCATTGCAGCAGGTTGGAGCAACCTGAAGCTCCACGCTCCACAGCCAAGTTGCCACTGTAGTGGAACACCAACAAATCTCCGGGTTTTGCACCCTTGTACAGCCAATCCATGCCCTCCAAGATTCGCCTTAGAGCTGATCTCTCCGAAAGTTTGAGATTGTTTGGGTTTGCTGTGAGACAGATGAGACAGGAATACAGGAGCCCGCTTTTCATGTGGACACATCACAAAAGCCACAGGCTTTTCCCGCCCCACCTCGACGATCACAAACTCACTAGCACAAGCAGTGCAGATTGCAAAAACGTGTCAAAACTATCCACTCTGAATTGAAAAGTTGTCAGTATGCACATCACCTTGCATGTTGTGAATTGTTAATGTGCATTTTACAGACATCTCTCCTGTAGATTAAATTCATGACCGCCTTGCCACCGGCCCAGCCCGAGTTGCTGCTTGGTTGGCCAATTTTCCTTCGCCTGGTCCTCGTTGATCATCCTTAGTCGGTTTTCGGATCTGCGACCGATCCAACACTCAGCACCAGTTCCAGTTCAGGTCTTTGGATCAAGACATAGGGAAAACATCGCAAAAAATGGCTTCTAAAATGGCTTTCAAAATCTATATAACAGTTCCAACATCAGCCCGAAATCATCAAATCCAACTGGTGGCTAGTGTTAGTGGTCCCGCTGCTCAGCGCGTGGTCTCAGTGATCCCTCACCAAGCATCAAGATGTCATCCACATTGAAGCCATACTGCTCCACCAGCACCTTGATTTTTGAGATTTCCACATGCCGGAAGCTCATCCTATGGAATTTTAATGGATACAGTATGTGTCATGAATAGGAAATGTTCATCATGTTCTGGGATTATTTTAGCTATTTTCGAATGCAAGGATAAAGTACCAGAGCGGCTCGCACTTTGGGCTGATCTGACAACTAGCCGGAACTACCACGCACCAGGTGAGTCAACGTGCCTTCTGCGTGTTGTTCACATCGTTAATGCACCCACGCAGCTCGGATCTGGTCTTCCTGCCAGAAAAAACTCGTCGTTTTTCATGGCTGCCTAGAGGGGTCTAAAATGGCTTGCGGGCATGGATACCCATCGCTGGCGCAAGTTGGAGTGCCCGTTTTCCATGTGGTACCCCCAATCAAACCATCCAGGGTCAACATTCGAAACAGGCTTCTGCAGCTGGCTGGCCTGTAGTTGATGCCCACCAAGCAGGCCTTCCTGATCCATGGGAGCACGACCCCAGGTATGATGGAATTGTCCAAAAAGACTTGAGATGACGAATCAGAAAATGTCACAAGCCCTGTGGATTATGGAAGTTTCCTGAAATGGGGATACCCCCAAATCATTCACCTCAATAGGATGTTCCACCAGATTTTGGAGCACCACCATTTCTGGAACCCCCGTACCTAATGATTTTAATTTCTGGCGCGAGGTCCTTGCAACCTCTGTTCACATCAAATTGCCCTGTTTCATGATGGACCTCGCAGGTCCTTCCAACGTTCCAACATCTCCTATCCCTCAACCTCCTGCAACAAAAGGATAATCCAAAAAATTGAATAGGTCACACTTTAAAAAGTAACATAAAACATCATAAAACTATTGACCCAGCTTTGCAACCCAACAGCAGGTTCCAGGGTTCCAAGGCTGCAATGTCATCAGGCAAGGTTCCAAAGTTTTGCAGGGTTCCAAGATTCCACAGTTGCTTCCAGGATTGCAAGGTTGCAGATGTTGGAGTTCCAAGTTCCAAGGTTCCAGTCCAGACTTCTAGATTACCAGGGTTCTCGGAGTTCTCGGGCGCCAAGTTTCCAGGGTTCAAGGTTCCAAGCAAGGCTCCAGACTTGTAAGGGTCTTGGTTTGATTCATCAACAACGAAATGACAAGCGCAATGCAAACGCAAAACACAATATATAGAGCTGCTTCAATTTATTTAAAGAACACAATGTGGGCAGTGTGGCCCTACAGTCCTACAGTTTCACAAGGTGAAGGTTCAAAGTTTTTCACAGGGTTCTCGGTTTCCAGGCAGTGCAGCAAGGCTCTAGATTTGAGCGACTTTCCAGCCAGGTTCCAGCAGGTTCAGCAGAGTGCCAGCAAGGTTCCAGCAATGTTCCAATGACCTAGCAGAGTTCCTAACAGGGTTCCAAGGAGGCTCTAGCAAGTGTTTGGGTTTTCCGGAACATGCATCTTGCTGGCACTGCTCCTCGGCTGAGAGATTGAAACCCAAGAGAATGGCTTTTGGGCTGTTGGGAATAGTAAAGCATACCATGCCATCAGGGTTCAAACAATCTTCATCTTTAAGTGTGCTCCCCCCAAGTGCTTGTAACAGCCCAGCACATTAAGCAAAGGAAGAATCATTGAAACGAAGCAAACAACAAAACAAAAAAACAAATAAAACTCTCAAACTTGTCTTCGGGCTCTAAATCACAACTTGGCACCGGACCGTAACCAAAGCGGAAACACAAATGTTCCAACATGGCTCCAGCGAGGTTCCAGCAAAAGTCCAGGAACGTTCCAGGAAGTTTCCAGCACAAATCACACAATGTTCCAGGAAGGTTCCGGCAACGTTCCAGCACAGGTTCCAAGAAGGTTCCAGGAAGGTTCCAGCACAGTTCCAACAATCTTCCGACGACGATCCAGCAAGTTTGCAGCAAGTTCAAGCAAGGTTCCAGCAACATTCAAGCAAGGTGCCTGCAAGGTCGCAAGGAAGGTTCCAAGCAAGGTTCCAGGAAGGTTCCAGCAAGGTTCCAGGGCTGTTCCGGTTTTCCGGGCGTGCATTTTCGTGGCACCAGTCCCCGGCCCCAGAGATTACAACCCAACAGATTCGCTGTTGGGAATTAATACATACCTCAATAGTTATGGTTCTTGCCCTCTTTTTGTTGCAAGCATTTACCATATTCGGGAAGGACAAGAACCATATATATATAACAGATTTGCTGTTGGTTCCACCATTGGGGACCCTACCTGAAGCCACATATTGGGGACCCGGCGCAAAGATTCAGTTCTCCATGCAAACTTCCAGGTAAATCCTCATGTCATGCTCTAAATCCCCATTTAGAGAAAAGCAAAAGTCATTGCTAAGCCAAGCAAGAGACATTCAAGAAGAACTACTGGACCCACACCTGCAGCGCGTTCAACAAAGTTCTCACATGGTTCCGGAAGGGTGCCAAGGTTTTTTCGAGAAGGTTCCAGCAAGGTTTCAAAAAGGCTTCAGCAGGGCTCCATAAGTTCTATACTCCAGCCAGAAATAGGTGCCAGCAACAAGTTCCAAGAAGAAGATCTTCATCTGTAGGTGTGCGCCCTGCCCCCCCATTACCTGAAAGAACCAGCACACTAAGCAAAGCAAGAAAGCATTGAAACGAAGCAAGAAAAGCAAAAAATAAAATAAAGCGGAAACAATAAGCACCAAAACGATACGCCACAATAGTTTCCCAATGTACAGCCAGGAGTTACAACAAGGTTCCGGCAAAGTTCCGGCAAGGTTCCACAAAGGTTCCAGCAAGGTTCCAGCAAGGTTCCAAAAAGATTCCAGCAAGGTTCCGGCAAGGTTCCAAGCAAGGTTCCAGCAAGGTTCCAGCAAGGTTCTGGCAAGGTTCCAAAAAGGTTCTAGCAAGGTTCCAGCAAGGTTCCAAAAGGGTTCCAAGACCATTCCGGTTTTTCAGGGCGTGCATTTTCGTGGCACCACTTTCCGGCCCCAGAGATTCAAACCCAACACTATCGCTGTTGGGAATATCTTTAAATCAGAAAATTCAGATTCCAAGATCTGAGTGCAGTTGGTCTCAAATTTTGGACAGATCCCCACCAGTTGCCGGTGAGTGTCTTGGCTCCCACGACCCTGGCACTACTCGCCAGCACTCGCATGGCCTCCTGCGCTGCGGATGAGCATATATTATATTGAAAATATTCAGTAATTCAGCAGCAACATCTTGGGTGTATCTCTATCGCCGGTAAGTGAAAACAACTAAATTGAGTCGAAAGCTACTAAATCTGTGGACGTATGTACATGTGTGTGTGTGCGCAATATGTTTTTAAATGTGTTTAACGTATGTGATGCCATGAAATGCGATGAAATGCAATACGATCCCATACAATGCAATACATGCATATGCGCAAGTTATGCATCTATCTAGTTATATATCTCATGCAATGCAATGTGCTGCAATATGATGCACTTTAATTCAATGTCAGACAATATAAGGCCAAGCAGTAAAAAGCGTGTTCAGTGCAATGCAATGCTGGGCGATGCAATGCAGTGCAATGCCAAGTAATGTGGTATGTGGAATGTACTGTAATTTAATGTATTGTAATGTGATGTAATGCAATGCACGCGCGTGTCGCGTATTCAGCAATGAGTCTATGTGTTGCTTGGATTTGCTCAAGCTCTCCTCGCACCTTGTCACAGATGGAGAAATCATCAGAATGCCTACTAGAAAAGTTATCTGCAACTATTGAAAGCATGGACGCATATCAAAACTTTTACTTGAACACAAAGGGTACGGCATGTTCCGCACTTGAGGCACACAAGAATCCCCAAACTTCCACGTCAGTACGAGTCACTGTCAATTGGATCCCTGCACATGACACAACAGTTTTCTTTCTCCAATTGGACAAATTATGACAAATTCAAGTAATCCAACAAACAGAGTTGGAAATGCAACTGCACTTGATCTTCTCCGACCAAAACATTGGCTGGCCTGGCGATTGTCAGAACCATTGCAGCAAGCGAAAGCGACGTTTCCCATGGTTCAGGCTTCGGATAGTTCTAGCCAATGAATCTATCAGATTTCGATCTGGGCCAGACTTTCATAAGGGCAGCGGATGATCAGCACTTCAAAAGCATTGCACCAGGACAACTGGGAAGGCAATAAAATCTCATACAAAAAGGCTGGTGTTTGGCTTTTGGAACCCCAAAAATGATTGAAAATCATCAAGGATGGTTCTTCTCGTGGTGTTTGGCGCCAATTCAAGAAACACCCCGTGTCTCTCCACTCATCACGATTGCAGCAAAAGGCGGTCCTGCAGCACACCCATGGGTGCCTCGTTCCGACCCAAGGCATGTAGGGCGGCACCAGGGGAAGAACAGCCTCAGATGGGTAGAACCCTTCAACCACTCTATGCCTTAAGTGCGGAGCCTTAAAATTCATAGCAAAAAAATAACCCGGCTTTGCAACCCAACAGCAGTGACGGGTTCAAATTCAAGGCTACGGTACGCAATTGGGAGAGATTTGGACCACATCTGGGAGGTAACTGGGAAACAAGTGGAAGCAATTGGGAAATAATTGGGGAACCACATCTGGGACACAATTGGGCGTTGTGGGAGACAAGTGGACGACAATTGGGAGACAATTGGGAGACCACATTTGCAAGACAGACGTGACAAGTGGGAGACAACATCTGAAAGACAAATGGGAAACAACTGGGTGACAAGTGGAAGACACTTAGAGACAATTGGAAGACCAATTCTGGAGGACAGCTGGGAATTGTGGAAGACAATTCCGGGAAGCAATTTGGAGACCACATCTGGGAAACATCTGGGAGACAACTGGCAGACACTGAGACACTTGGGAGACCACATGTGGGAGACAGCTGGGAGAGCACATCTGGGAGACAGCTGGGAGACATCATCTGAGAGAGAAAGGGAAGATAACTACAACTAGACAACAAGCGGAGAAACCTTGGACGCAACTGGCAGACATCATCTGGGAAGCCGCACCTGGGTGACATCTGGGAGACAATTGTGACACAACTGAGAGACAACTGGGTGACAAGTCAAAGACAATTGGAACACAATTGGAAGACATCTGGGAGGAGAGGAGACAAGTGGGAGACGACATGTGGGAGACAACTGGGAGTTGTGGGAGACAACTGGGAGTTGTGGGAGACAAGTTGAAAACCACCAGCAGGCAATTGGGATACCACATCCGGAGAGTGCTGGGAGAAAACATTTGGGAAACCTTATTTGGAAGACAAGTGGAGACATCTGCGAGACAACTGCGAGACGGGGTTCCAGGGTTCCAGGGACCCTGCCCTATGCATGGGGAAGGGGGAGGAAGTCAAAATACCGCCCTCTGCTCCTAGAGACTGGAACAAGATGAAAAGCAAATTGGGAGACAGACAAAGCTGGGAGACAAGGTGGAAGATGAAGTGCAGCGGGAGACACAGTGGAAGACACAAAGACACAGTCACAGTGGGAGACAAGCTGGGAGACACAGCCGGAGACAAGTGACACGTGGGAAACAAAGTGGGACAGAAGTGGGAGACACAGTGGGAGACACAGTGGGAGACACAGTGGGAGACACAGTGGGAGGCAAGGTAGGAGACAAGGTGGAAGACACCGTGGGAGACAACGTTGGAGACAAGCTTCCAAGGTTCCCGGAACCCTGCGCATACTCTAGAGATTGAAACCTAACAGCTTTCTGCTGTTGGGAAAAAATGTCTGATGTTTCGGAGGACAAAGCTATGGAGGACAGTCGATGAGCTTGACCACCAGAAAAACGAACTCTCAATCATACAGTTGTGACTTCGTCCTTCACAGGCACTACATATTGATGCCAAACCATAAGAGTGATACATACATGATACATGTGTATGTATGTATGTATGTATGTATGTATGTATGTATGTATGTATGTATGTATGTATGTATATATGTATATATATATATATGTATATATATATATATGTATATATATATATATTCGTTAGCATATTAATATACATAGACATGCGTCCAGAAAGAAAATGATTTGCCATGCATGGTCCCCCCGTGGCTGCCCATCAAAGTTTGAAAGAATCCCATCCTGGAACTATCAAAGACCCCAACTGGAAGCCCAAAATGAATAGATCCTATACTCACCAGGGTGTCTTTGAATGATTGGGGCGGGGATGTTTTATATTCAGGGGAAGGGATTACCTATGATTTTCTTTCCAAACTGACAAGACTTGACGTCTCCACGTTTCTCACTGCTTCGCTCTAGGTACCCAGCGTGCCAATCGGGAGCGCTGCCTCTGTCTAGGAGGGATGGTTGTGCCAGAAAAAAGAGACGGTTTTGTTGGTAGCAGCAAAACACACTTAGTTGCGCCTACAAAAGGCAAGGTCGCAAGGTCTAAGTTTTGGAGTTCGACGATGTTTCGAATAAAATGCATATGAGTGTGTATAACAAAGTTTTGAATTCTCGTCTCAAAGCTCGTGTGACTCATATGTTGAACTCTTGGCGGTCTAGCAACATGTGGTTCCACAAGCAGGGTTGTTTTCTGTGGAAGCATCTCCTCTCAATACGCCGGGTACAACCCAAACATCCAAAGGGTTTGTGTTTTTTCCAGATGCATCCCTGAACGAAGTGTTGGGTTTGGTTTTCTGGTACGGAAAATTTTCACTGGCGGATTTGCCGCAATTGCGTCATCTTGCGTCCAAGTTTCTCTCTTGGAAGACCCTGAATCCACTGAAAAGGTGGCGCTTCGCGGACCTCATCCCCGAGGGCAAACCCTTTGGAGCTGGACATCCCGGGGCGGCCCTTGAGCCCCCCAACTGGGATCGCAGCTTCACGCCTAGCACATGCTGCAAGTGGGGATGAATGTCGGGCTAGGATGGAAAATTTTGGGAGCGATGCAGTGACCCAGCTGTGATCTTTTAGAAGATTCGACTTAAAACCCAATGTTCGCGAGATCGTAGTTGTTCTCAAGGGAATTGATCGAGGATCCCGGGTTTTTGCCATAAGTTCCTGCTGGTTTCCAGAAAAGAAACGACATAACATGGTCATACACCGTGTATGTCCTGTCCTCAATTCTTAGGACATCCCCACATCCCCTGGACCTGGATGAGGGCTCAGGGCAAACAGGCTCAGAATGCGCTGGACGCCTGGGAAGTCGGAAGCACTGAATCACGAACCTAACCCTTCAATCATCAGCTGAATTGGTCTTAAAAATGTGCCTATACTATACCGTACCCCTAAAATCCTACAAAATATAATATACAAAATAATAAATCATATAGTATAATATAATATAATACAATATAATATCATAAAATACAATATAATATAATATAATAAAATATAATATAATATTATATTATAATATAATATAGTAAAATATTTTAAGATATTTTAAAGTATAGTATAATATAATATAATATAATATGAAATATTTTGTAATAATATAAGTTAAAACAATATAATATAATTTAATTGAGTATAATTTAGTATAATTTAATATAATACAAAAAAAAAATATAATATTAAAACATAATATGTTATAATACGCCATGAAATAATACAATATATTTAAAATAAAATAATTTCATATAATATAATATCATTAAATGTAACATAATATTATATTAAATTGTATTTGATTAAATTATATAATATAATTAAAAAAACATAAAATATAATATATATAGTATAATAAAATACAACATAATAGAACTAAATATAATATAATATTATATTATATTATATTATATCAAATTATCCTATATTAAATTATATTATCATTTAACAAATGAAAAAATAATAAAATATAATAAAATATAATGAAATATTGTATAGTATAATAGTATAATAAAATCTAATCTAGTATAATATAATATAATATTATATTATATTATATTTAAAAAAATATAATATAGTAAATATAATACTTAAAAAATATATATACTTTTAAAAAATAAAAGAAAAGAAGAGAATAAAAAGAATATAACACGATAAAATTCAATATAATATGCAATATAATTTAATAATAATTAATATGGTATAATTTAATTTACTATAATATGCTATAATAAAATAAAGTTGACTATAATATAATATTTTCAAAAAAATAGATATAACTTTCAAAAAACAAACTTCAAAAAAATGTAAAATATTATATTAAAAGAATAGAAAATAATACAAAAAATATGATAAAATATAAAATGATAAAAAATAATAAAATAGATTTTAGTAAAATATAATATGATATAATATAATGTAATAAACAATATATATATATATAATTATATTATATGATATGATATAATATAGTAAAAAATAAATTTCTATAATATAATACGGTATACATAAATATAATGTGACATAATAAAATATATAAAAATATAATATAACTTAATATGATACAGTATAATTTGATTTAATATAGTATAAGAAAACAAAAAGTATTTAATTTAGTATTTGAAAATATATTGTATAATAAATAAATAATCATAAAATATTTTTTTATAATAGAGTTTAAAAAAATAGTATAATAATATACAATACCAGTAGTACTGCACAAGGCGGTGGCAGAAGTTTCAAAGATAGAACGCTATAGGAGAGGTGAGTTTCTGTGATGCATGGGTGGCAGAGCGAATCCACTGATGCACCGAAACGTGGTTGGAGCTGTGTTTTTGGTGTAGTGTACTTAAGTGTGGTGCAGTTGCCGTTGTAGTTGTGGTGTGGTGTAATGAGTGTAGCGCAATGTAATGTAGTGTAGTGTAGTGCGCTGTCGTGTTGCGTGCTGTAGCGTTGTGTGCTGTAGTGTAGTGTGCTGTAGTGTGCTGTAGTGTGCTGTAGTGTGCTGTAGTGTAGTGTAGTGTAGTGTAGTGTAGTGTAGTGTAGTGTCGCGTCGCGTCGCGTCGCGTCGCGTCGCGTCGCGTAGCGTAGTGTAGTCGTGTAGTCGTGTAGTCGTGTAGTGGTGTAGTCGTGTAGTCGTGTAGTGGTGTAGTGGTGTAGTGGTGTAGTGGTGCAGTGGTGTAGTGGTGTAGTGGTGTAGTGGTGTAGTGGTGTAGTGGTGTAGTAGTGTAGTAGTGTAGTAG